TAGCTTTATCCTTATATTTCTCACTTTGATTACGACTGTAAAAGGACTACTATTCACAATTTGAATGCACATAAGTTAGGTTTTTGCAATCTTTATTTCATGTCCGTCTCTTTTAATATGAGGAAAAGCAGTATACCTTCCATGTAGTCAAGGATCAGTATTAAGATAAATATCGTACTATACATACGTATAGTATTGGAAGTTGTATCTTCATATTTGTTTTATAATACACTTATTTCCTGGTACGACACGTACGACATACTGTGTTTAGACTTCTTCAGTAGGAAGGTTAAAAAAAAAAAGAAACAGTTAAAATGTGTATTAATATTGATTCATGAATTAAAGAACCTTTATTTATTTATTGGCAATGTTTATTAATTTGTTTTAAAATCACATTGAAATGAACTTATATTTTCACATTTTTTTAAAATTTATTTTAATTAAAAATGCTGAAAAAATATTGTCAATGTGTAGTCTTGTGTTGTCGATGTCATTCGTTTAACAGAAAAGGAATAAACTAATCAGTTTATGCAGATTTATGCAAGAATTTTAAGAGAATAAAAATAAAAGCTTGCAGTATTTAAAAGATATAAAAAAGACAAGTACATAACAACCGCCTACAACTGAACACATGACATACTTTATGAGAAGAAGATACTTTTTAGAATGATGAGCATCTTTCCAGAAAGAGGAAATTGATTAGAAGGTGGCGCTGCCAGGCCTTTAGTTAGAGATGAATAAAAATTACTGCGAACTCTAATTGTAATTCAAAGTGTAAATTAAATTATTTGCTTTTTTTGGTAAACTTTTAGACAAAAGTTAGAAAATTTCCTGTTCTCACGGAAGAGACCATTTTTGGTAGCATTTGTTTCTGCTTGAAGCAGTTGCTAGTTTTCCAAGTTTGTTATGAATTTGGTTGTAGTTAAGTTGTACTCAGTGCAACTAATTGAGTTTTCAACTGACAATGACAATCATTTTGAATTGACATTCGTCTCACGAAACTGTCTAAAAGGTCAACTGTTATTTACAGGCACCACAAGGTGCACGATGCTGCTTGGTCAACAGCAATATCACAAAAGTTTGTTGCAAACATTGAATAAAGAAATGCAAGGAAATATGCGTTAACAGTAAAAAAAACTTGTCAAAAATTCATAGCCAAATATAATTGTTTTCTGGCAATGGAAATACAAATATTAAGCATTCCATATTTTTAAGTAAAACTACCGGACAATGTTTTAGTTCAATAATAAAAACACTTTGTCAAAGTCTATCGTATAATATGTATCGCAATTTAAGTTTTTAAGCAGATTTTGCTCTTATGTCGTTGCGCCAGATACAGATAATTTAAGTGGACAATTTACACTCATAAATTGAACAAAATGCAAATTTTTGCTTAATTGTATCTTTCACTTTTGATAATAGCAACTTCCGATTGCATAAAAACAATATTTGTATTAAAAAAGTAAGTGTTCAGTCAGTAAAGTAGAGGAAATATTAATTTCAATAAGAATGGAATTTCTTGCAAATCTAGTTAAAGATATATAACAAATTTTAATATCTTCCAAATAAATTCAATATTTACAATCTGCTTCTTACTTTATAGTGCACCAAATTTAGATTTAACTTCAAGCAAATCTCTTAATATAAAAATAAAAAAATATTCGAGTATCTGAAAATTAAGGAAACACCTTCATTTAGCCAGTTATTGAGCTTTATAAGTTTCAGTGGACCATGTGCACATGCGAATTACCATACTAGTTTAGTGCTAATGATCGGAAATGAGGACAAATAGGGTTATCATAGGAGTGGGCATTGGGAAAAATGTAAGTGAATTGAATTTTTAATGTTATCTTAAAATCGAAAACAATTTTAATATAGTGTACAAAATATAAAAGTAAAAACAATAATAATAATGTAATAATATAATAGAAATATATGTTATATAAAAAAAATAATGTCATCATATTTCAAAAAAATTATTATAATGAAAATTAATGTTATAAATTTGTCGATTATATTGCACATACGGTACAGATTTTTATGAGCCTTCTTTTCGTTATGAAATACTACGTTGGATATTCTTAGGAGGATTATACCTTCTTTATGTTTATTTAAAAATAAAAATAAAAATTAACTGCGGCTACAATTATGTATAAAAAGGAACATCAAAAACTGTTTTCACTTAAATTGTTAAAAAAATTAGTATAGAATTAAGTTTTTCATATGTAAAAGTTAATTATCAAATATTGCATCTGGATTAAATGTGGTAAAAAATCCAAAATATTATATAGCAGCAATAACCGAATGAACGCATGAGCTACGAATACTTACAATTTGGTTTAAATTTAATACAACACAAATTTTAATTGCTAAAAGTCGGTATATTGGTTTTTGAAACTACATACAATGCAAGATATTGTTATTATTTAAATCCTTTAAGAAAAAAGTTCTGCTTAGTTTTATTTAAAATTCACTTAAACTAAATATTGTTGTGATATTTACACAGTTGCGTTTATAGTACCAATCAATGCGTTCAATATTGGGCTTTTAGTCACTGTTTCCTAAAGGAAACATAGAATTTATCTATGCAGGTGCGATGTCTAGTTTGCATCACTGTCACAGGAACGACATGTGCTGTTCATTACAAATGTTTGTCCCCTATATATTTAATGATGATTTTTAAACAGTTATTTCAGCATATGTTTATTATATCGCAAGTGCTATTACGGTAGCTGTTGATTTTGTAATTTAAAGATTATTAGTTATAAAGAAATGATTATATTAGTTATATGAATTAGGTTTTATAATATTTTACTATTTCATATTAGTTGTATACATATTTTGTCTAGCCCTTATGCAATATTATAAGTTATAAGATATCTTTAACAATGTAGAATCATATACATATTCGAAATAAGTCACGTAGATGGGAAAAATTTTTCTAAAATATAAACTTAAATAATCAAGAAGCTGACATTTCTTTTCAAAAACTATTTCCATCAACCTAAAAAATTACCTATTATTTCACATTACTTTTGTTATTATTATTATGAGTTGAGATACACTGCATCTTAGAAAGCATATTATGCGACCCAATAAGATAAGCTTTACGTACTTAATTACTTAATCCTTAACAATAAATTGTTATTCGTCTTGCTGTACCTATTTACTTGCACTTATGTGTTTTCACTTCAATGTAGGGTGCAGTACTACTGCAATGCATCATTACGTATCGGTAGTACTGGAATTTTATTTGAAATGTATCAATTACACTGATGTAACTCTAATGTTCAAAAAGCGTATGTGCAAAATATTGCAAATGCCACTCAAACGAAGTGAGTTAATATACAACACTCGGGAGGATTAATAAGAATTATGATGCACTTTTTCAAGGTTGCTTGATTATACATACATACGTATTTCATATTGAAATATTTCTTATAAGCTTCAATGAACATGCCGCCAAGTTGGCGACTTTTGACAATATTGGATAGGAGAACTGTTATGAGAACAGAGTCATCTTCCCAGATATGCGCCATAAACGGTAATGAATCAAAGAAGATGCAACAGTACCAACAATTGTAGGAAATTGTGTAAAAAGTGAAGCAAAATATGATAAATAAACAACAACAAACAAATATATGTAGAAGAACATCTGCTGTAGCTGCCAGAAATAATTTCTGTTTCCCGTAACCCATAAAAGTGATGGGGACCTGCTTGTCACTTCCTAATTATGTTTAAAGTATTGAATTATAATCATTTACCTAAAATATCATATGTCAACAATAAGTAAAAATTAAGGAAGCCTCCGAAGTAGATAAGTCAGTTTTTTAATTTTCTCTTTACGGGAAGTGCGATTCTCAAAAAGAAAAACGAAATAAAAACGTTGCACTGCTTTGCACACATTTGAAAGTTATACGAATTTTAATCAATAGATAAGTATATCTCAAAAATATGAAATGGAATTACTTTAAATTACATTTAATATATAGAAATGGCATTATAACAAATATTCACTTTCTTTTATATAATACGAGTAGTTCAGCAACATGAGCCCACATACTTCAAGCTAACATCCACAGTAATGGACGTTACATAGATTACATGATAATTTGATTCAGATAACTACTGCAAGTGTTGGTAAAAATTCTTAATGAAACAATATAATTAAGTGCAGTTAAAAAAAATCCAAGGAATTTTTTGAATCAAATAGTGATTACCAATCTTAAATCAAACGTAGTGGGATTACATATTGGATTGGTTTATTCAAAAGAAAAATGTGAACAAAAGCTTATAGCAAACTATAAACTATTTTAAGTAGTAGTTACCAAAAA